CGGTAAAACAAAAAAAAAATCAACCAAAATGGAAAAGAGGAGATAAAAAAAAAAAACAAATCGAAACAAATGATGTTAAGTGACGCGCAGCTTTTGTGGAAATGAAAGCCAAACGTTCGATTCTCAAGATGCATGATAAGATAAATAGAACAAAAGTCCTGAAGATAAATACATCTACTATGTGTGGCTAGGGGTAATGTGGTTTTGTATTTCCCAGGCTAAGATATGAAACCGGGCACGTGCAGTCAATCAAGCTGGCTGCCAGGAATGCGTGTTTCTATATATTTATATATATATGTATAGAAATATATATATTTTTAGTGGCACACAAGGGGAACAACACGTTGCAACACTGATTCTGAACTTCCCAATTGACCTGACAGAGGTTGTGCACCTGCACAGGTATTGCATATATATATAAACCTGAACATTTTATTGCAACCCTCTGCACGAACCACAATCAATCTTAATGGGGTGGCATATAAAAAGCTGTTTGTCCGAACTGATTGAATGAATGATTAAATGGCTGACTGACTGATTGACAGACTGACTGATTGACTGGGTAAAAAACTGATTGATTGCTGAACGACACATAGCTAAATTGGCTTTACTTTGTTACATTTTTTATTGCAGCTACCTTTTGCGATATAAGTTCATCCTAGACAGTGTCTATTGAAAATTCTTCTTGGCTCCAACTAATTTTAAAATATAATTGAGCACATTTTTAGTCTTATATTGCACTTTTCGAAAAACGCACCTCAATTTGAGACCAGTTTTGGTTTGATTAACAGCCGCAAAAAGGGTAAGCGGTCGTTAGGTCTTATTGCCTTATGCGCTATTTGTTTGTCTTTAGTCGTACGAAAGCCTGGTTATACCTGTTAGTATATTCTATAACCTTGCAACAGATGCATAGATTTACAATACAGCTTTATGTGTCTGCCAGAACATTTGCCCGCACAGTGCTTAGCTTCCCTTTGAATGCAAGTTGCATGGGTAAGCCTAGACGCATTGAACTCTTAAGCCATGTCAAAGTATCTTGCACTCTTTGCCACGACACTGGGCAATCCTTTTGCCAGAGGAAGAAAATCCTGACGGTTTCGATTTCAATCAGAGCACACACGGCCTTCGAATGGCTTCCAACTTTGATGAACTTGGCGATTTTCAGGCTCGGTTTTGCATTATTTATCCGTCGTGTAATTTGAGCGTAAGTATAAGAGAATGAGTGCGGGGAGGAGAGAGGAACATAAGCTAAAGTCATGAAATAGGGCGTTGGAAGAAGGGGGGTGCCGACCAATTAATGCCACTTCTTTGGCTTCCACTGAAAATGACGATGAGGATGAAGCTTCATTAAAAAATCTCATCAAATCCGAATGCCACTAACTTAGTTCCTCGTTTTCTGTTTGTGCACTCTCCGTGTGCATATTTATGACGACTGGCAAATCAAAAATGCAAATAAATTTCAATTTTCTAACTGTGAGTTGACACGAGGCGGCAACATGACAGTCACAATTACAGTTGCAAACATGCCACACAGCAGCAGCAGCAACACAGCAGAAGACAGAGCGCCACAAATCAAGTCGAGGCCGTAGCTCGGGTTGGGGCAGAGCCTGGCAGCGAGAGAGGGAGATATGAGCTTGGGGCAGGGGTGGGTACTCCCAATCTCATATGCATATTTATGAAAAGTGCAGTGGCATCTTGTCAGGCCTGGCTGCCTTCTGGGAGCCTGTCTATGAGTATTATTATTAAATAATCATTTTGTTGCAATAAATTTCAATTTCTATTTGTGTCAAATGTGAGAGAGAGAGGGAGAAAGAGAGAGAGAGAGAGAGATGGACAGTTTAATTTGCAAACAAGTTGAACACTTCAACCGTGGGCCATTTATTTATATGCCTTATAAGTAAGTCACATCGTCGGCTCTATTTTAAATATTCATCCAGTCAAAGTGAATTAGCTTTATTTTCACGAGAACTACCAGCAGAAAACTAGTTCGCAAAGCCAATGAAATTGTAATTAAGTTTGCATGCCAAATGACTCGAGTGGTTTGCATGCAATCAGCAAAAAAAAAAGAATACACAAAAAAATTCTGAAATTTGTTTAAATATTGACGCAAATTTACAAGTTCAACGGAATTTTTTTTTGGTATTCATTTAATTTTCGTTGGTCGCTTGAGCCCCGCTGGTTCGAAGGTCACACGCAAGGGTTGGCAGCACTCTGTGTGGCACTCTCAAATTGGCTAAACGTAGCAAACGAATTTCCCAAACTATTCGGTACATTGAAATCGAGCTAAAAGTTAAATTTTAAACCAATTGTCGGCTTGCAACAGCTCCATGCCGTTGAGTGGGCTTTGTGGCCCACTGTGTTGGCTGTCGCATTGTGCACGGGGCAGCATGTGCGTTGTGGCATCAAGTACAGTCCAGTTGAGGCATTTGCATCACATGCCGAACTGAGGCATGCAACGACCGAGAGCCGTTGGACTGGACTCTGATTGAAATGTTCAAAATGCTGCCTCTTGCCACCAGTCACGGAGGGGCAGGCTGGCTGGCCGTCAGTCAGGCAGCTATTTTCTGTGCTTATTCCGGAGCTAGTCACCTAGTCTGGACAACACCTACCAGTCTGGGGGCCGTGACAGAGAGAGCAGAACATGTAAAAGGCATCGGGCATTTGACTCTTTTTTTTTTGTGGCAATCGTATAAGCTGTAGAGAGAGCTGCTGTTCTGGAATTTGAATTAGGTCATATCAGACGAAAGATTAAAAATTTGATTCATAACTGTAAACAAGAGAAAAACATCTGAAAATCAATTCATTTGAGAAATAAAGCTGTCCGCTTGACATGTGAAAACTTATTAATTTGCAATTTCCAAAAGAGTTAAGAGTCTGTCACATAAACCATTTAGCATTTGCTTAGACATTAGTTACAGTTGCCATTGTCAGATGTTTAACTTATCATAAACAACTCCCTTTTCCTGTCTGGCTAGTTCTGTTGCAGAACGCTCTGCATGACATGTCTGTAACGAAATCTTCGAGCGCTCAATTGCATCATCTGAGCTAATTTTTGCTAGGCAGATGTAGCCTAAGGAAGTGTGTCATGAAAAGTTAATGTGTATTTCTTATGATACAAGACGCAGTTGATGACAGGTCATTGAGCTTGTCCATAAGCGCAATACAGCTGAAGATGCCGTCGCAGCGCGTGTCCTTAAGTTAAATCTTTCCATGTGGTATGTATTTACGTTTAAGTGTGGCTTTTGAATCCTCGGCCATATTTTTAAGTGAGAGGTCTTTACACTACTCTGAAAAGTTAAATATGAAGCAGTGCGTGCGCTAGAATTAAATTTAAACTAGGCTTTGGGAAATTAATGCTAAATTCAATTACTCAAGCATACTTTGTTGATGTGCAGCTGTATCCAAATTATTGGGCGAACACACACACACACACACACACAAATCCACTCAAGTCATCCGGCTGATACAAACACGCTCATGTCATCGGGGCCCATTGATCGCATTAGAGAAAGTAAACACAATTATTTTTGTTTCGAACACATATATGTATATGTTTATGTTTATGTGTGTGTCGGCAGCGTGGCCACAAAGTATGCAAGACCAAAATTTCCTTAACGCTCTTATCACACACACACACACAGCCACACAAAGAGACACGCATAAGCCCGAGCAGCATTATGTTTGTTTTTCTGTTGAATATTTTCCATTTTTTTTAACGAGATACAAAACGAAAGAAAAAACAAAACAGCCGGCGGGGGAGGATGAAACGCTATGGAGAGGTCTTTCCAAATGGGGGTGTGGCAAGCAGCAGTTGCTGTGTAAATTATGTAAATGATTGAGCAAATTATGTCCAAAAATATTCGTTGCCATCTGACCTATGAACCTCCCTCGCCCTTCACTATACCCAATACCATCCCAGAACCTCGTGAACAACATCATTATCATCATAAAAACGCTCTTCACCTCCATATTCAATCACTTCTAGAGCATCTCAAGCTGTTGTCTGTAGCAACAAATCCCGTCAATTGAAATGTTTGTATAATAAAATATTAAAAAAAAAAAGAGAAATAAAAAATAAATATAATTTCTGGTCGACATTGTACAGAAACAAAAAAATGTTTTGTTTTACTTATTTTTGCAGCATTTGTTTTTCGCAGTCTTTATTAATTTATTTGTTTACGGGTCAAGATTGAAATGTGGGCGTGGCCAGCTGGACACCGCAGTGGGCGTGGCAGGCACAGCAGTCCGCTGTCAGTCTTATATATGCCAAAAAATGATTTGCATTGTGGTCAGCGAAAATAATTAATAATAATTTTTGTTCATCAAAGCAAATATAATTAAACAACTATCAATTCTAAAGCGCTGCCGGGCATTTTATTACATTTAACTGAACATTGATTGAGCAAATATTAATATTAATCAAGTTGTGGTCACCTTTGTGAAATAAAAATGCATTTTTATTTATTTATTTTGCTTTATTTTGTATTTTATTTGATATTTGTATTGAACCCTTAAGGGCTTCAATGAAAATAACATAGTTAAATAAAATAAATTAGTGTTTGATTTAGATCGAGTTGATGAAGCTACTGCTTGAGAATTCAGCATAGATGAAAGAAATAATCATTGAATTATTAGTACTTTTTGTTGGACATCTGTGTGTTTGTTTAAAAATATCGCTCTACCATGCGATTCCCATGAATTCCGGAGGCTCATGCTTCGAATCTTGTCTTTTATTCAAAACGCGTGCAGGCAATCTAATGAATGAATATTTATTAAACTTAGACTATCTTTATATTTATCTCCCCCCTCTCTCTCTCGCTCTCTCCCTCTTTCTCAGTTTATCTTTATCTTTGTTTCTATTTTCATCTCACTTCGCACGCTCTCTCTCTCTCTCTCTGTTTATAATATATTTCTTATATATTTCTTTCTTAATTGATTTTTAATTTAATTGTTCTCAAGTTTCATCTCTTATCCTCAATCTCATTCTCTTGTTCTTTTAGTGATGTGCGGTGTGTGAAGTCTGACATCAAATAATCTTGCATGGGCATGTTAAGTTAAGGGTAAGTATATATTTTTATATAAATATATAATTAGGACTTTATTTATATTTAGAGCTGAGCATGGTCTATTTTCTAATAGTTACACATTTCATTTAACTCTAATTAAATAGTTGACTGATTAACAAGAATTTGTGCATTTTCAGTGGTATTTTATCGTATCTGCCTAGTAATAATACCCTCTAATTGAAACATGTTGACAGACCACACAGAAACACACACAAACACATCGAAACACACGTACACACACACACGCAGAGATCTGCACGACCGTAATTCCATATGAATCTGCAAATTATTGTAAAAGTAGCAGCTAAAAAGCGTGTCATGTTTTTGCATATTTTGTACATTTTCATTATATTTATAGATAGTTTTCTTTTTTACATTTTTGCCATTGCAAATTTCAATTTATTAAATGCGTAGTGCAACTTTTGTTGCAAATTAATTTGGCACGAACTTGACTATGGAAAATATGGCAGAGGCTGACGCAGTGGCAGCGACTGTGGCAGTGGCAGTGCCAGCAGTCAGCAGTCAGCAGTCGACAGTCAGCTCTGTTGCCAGAGATGCAACAAGCCGCAGTCGCTGTCGCAGTCGCCGTTCCATACGCACGTGTTAAACTCTCGTACCTCTGTCGTAATAACCGCAACTTAGTTAACTAAACAAGCTGACAGGCATGCAGGCGGGGGGCGTGGCCGAAGGCATGGTTGGATGGGGGCGTACAATTGTTGTTGCTACAGTTGCAACCAGCCCACCCCCCTGCCCCTGCCCCTCCCCCTCCCCCTCTGCCTCCTTACACTTTTGGCAAATGTGCACTGAAGGAAATTGCAAACAAAATTGCAACTTCCTGTCAGCGACAAAAACTTTTGCTGTGGCGCCAATGTTGCCACTTCCGTTTAGAGCACACACACACTCACACAAACACAGAGAAATGAATGTGCATATGTTTGTGGGTGTGTGTGTGCTAAGTGCTGTCGGTTATTCATATGCAAACGCTATGGCAGCAGCCACAGCCAGGCAGCCAGCGCCATGTTTGGCAATCAAAATATTTCACTAAATTGCTGAGCCAAAGTGAACAAAAGCCAAGCAGCAGCAGCAGCAACAATTTGACTGCAACGGCCGCACCACAGGAAGAATAAAATATTAAATAAATTTTTGCAAAATTTTACAAACGTGACCAGAGAGAAATACCCGAGAGACATAAACAGAGAGAGAGAGAGTGGGTGCGGAAGAGTATCTCCTACAAATCCAAGCTATAGTCTCTACAGTCCCGCAGCATATGTTAAGCGTTTATCGTGGCTGCATAGGCCCCAGGGTCGGTTCGGGTCGGGTCGGCAGCTGCAACCAGGTAGGAGATGGGGGCGTTGCGTGCTTCACAAGAGAAACTATAAAATAAAATAAGAAATAGTAGCAAACCGACCGCAGGCCAAGCTTCTGGCACTCATATTTCCATCTCTTAATGCGTAACCCTGGCAGCTTAGAGGGTGTTATAATTTTGTTATAAAACGTGTAATGCTTGGAAGAAGACAATTGCTAAGTTTTGAAGTGTATATCTTCTTGATCAGCATGAACATCCGAGTCGACATGACCATGTCCATCTGTTCGTTTATCTATGCAAGCTTGTCTCTTAGCTTAAAGCTAACCTAAGGAATGTTTGCTTAGCTCCGTATTTTGATGCAGGCGGTGCAAATGTCGGCATCAGCTCGGATCGGACCACTAAATCATATAATAACAATTCTTCGAAATTATGTTCTTATAAAAATAGCTGACCAAACGTACTTTTTAACAAGCCTACTATATTATATGGCTTCGATAGGAACAATCGTTTCAACACAAAACTTTTGTATATAAAAGCATTTTTGAGCCACATCTAAAGTATTTTGTCTTCGGCTCTTGTTTCCTCTTGTTTTTTTTTTCGGTTTATTTGCACTACGTAAGTCGTTTAGTGTGGGGGACGCCTCGAAGTATGTCATGCAGCAGCACTTTTGACTCGCATTTGGCCGATTGAGCAGCAGATAAGACAAGGGCAAACATTGGGCTTGGGCCTGGGCAAGAGCAGACGGACAAGGGACATGGCTGGCGGCTGAGCTGCCACTTCAAAGTTGGCCCGAAATTAAAAATAATTACATAAAAAATAGAACAGTAACTGCTACAGTTACAGTTACAGTTACAGCTACAGTAAAGACTTTTGTGTTTGCCATTTGCTGTCGCAGTATTTGCTCTTCGTGTTGTTCTTTTCCAGCTGCTTACAGTGGAGTCAAATAATGAAATATATAAAGCGTAATTTGTTTTCAACATTTTTGTATTTATTTTTTTTTTTTTTGTTCTATTTTTTTTTTGTATTTTCTTTATTCATTTTTCATTTTTGTTTTGGAAGTTGCCTCTTAATAAGCATTTAATACTGTGAGTCGGCAAACACAAAGACAGAGCCCATAAAAATGTCCCTCTGTGCATACATATTCATAAAAGACAGTCGAGAAAAAATAAACTTTTTCAATATCAAATCATGTTTAATTACCTCAGAAGTCTAGGGCTCTGTTATGATTCTCACAGTTGACTTTAGAATAACTCTGAAACTAATTAATTAAATGCTTAAAAATATTTTTGTTCAAGAATAAATATATGTCAAAAGTACGCATTTTAAAGCCTTATTAAATTAACGTTGAAGTTGATAAAAGTGTAATTTTCATCGTGCCCAAATGGCGTACATAATATCCGAGAATGTTGACCGCCCGAAAATATGCAACAATTTTAAATTTTATTGCTGAATTAAAATTGAATAAAATAATAATTTGTGGTTGGTTGGTTACTATGTATATATACAAATTTGAACTAATATAAATATTAAGTATAGAAATATTAAATATTAATACAAGATTTTTACATTAAAAATGAAATTATTAAATTATCAGAAATCATGCTCAAAAGTCCGTGCAGTTGGCCATTATATATATTATTATTTAAAACTAGAAGTAACTCATTGATGGAATATGTGTAAAACATGAAAACATACACAATCGATCAGTTATCATTCAAAATCTCACACGTGCGTGCTACAAATAAAAGAATATCCGAATCATGCGATTATAAAAACATACAAATTTCAAAGTCAAGGCACAGCCATCAGATTCAGGTTGATTTGGAAAACCACGCATTAAATTTGTGATTAAATATTTAACAATGCGTGCAAAGGAAAACACCTTAAAAATGTAATGTTGATGCCCGTCAAGGATGTTGAGCACACACCAAGCTGGGGACTAAGCCAGCCAAAGGCTTCACAGCCCCACTGTATCTGTGTGTGCGCGTGAGTGTGTACGCGCGCGTGTGTGTGTGTGTGTGTATGAGTATTAACGGCCAAATTATGATGAAGCGCACTTGACAGACGCCATCGTCTGTGGCTGTTTAATGGTAAATACCGTAAACACCCTGTGATTGAGCCAGTCGTCGTTTCAATTCGTTTCGTTTCTGTGTATACTGTTTGCTGCTGAGAGAGAGCGAGCGCAGAAGCAAATTGTGTTGCTCACGCGCTGAATAAACGTGTTCGCTCGCAGCGCATGTTGCAACAGTGAAACGGTTATCAACATGTTGCATGTTGCGACCATCGCTGGCAGCACAAATGAACGGATAAATAAATAAATCTGTTGCCAGCAGCTCCTTTGGGGACATTGGGCCTAAAATTCATTTTGTGCGCTGCTAGCTTCATTATTTAGCGCTGAAAAACAAATCCTTGATTAATTGTGCATCAGCTGACATGACAAACCATTTACAATAGCCACGTGCTCTTTAAATATTTATAGACATATATATATATATATATATATACATATATATGCGTACGCTTAGAGTAAACGGGGCATAAATCATTTGCCAAACTGACGAAGAATTACAACGGCAACAACAGCAATAACAACAACAATAAATCGCAAGCTACTTTATTACCATTGACAAGGCGTATTTGTTGCCGCTTCTGTCCGCGCGATGGCGCCACTTTTGTTTCCTAGCTAGTGCACCTCCTTTTTGGCTGGCTCCTGTCCATAATGTGGCATGGCAACACACACATTAAATTTGATTTGGTCACGTTTCCAAGCTTTGTTCCACTTATGGCTCATTTTGATGTGGCCGTCCGTCGTTGTTGCCCGAAACAATAAAGCGGCCAAAGGGCCAAGTGGACCAGGACACAAAACAGCTGCGAGATCCATATCCGAGGCACAATGCAATCACAGCAGCAGCAGCTCCCTAGATACTGGAATTCGGCCACAGCTCCTAATAGACGCATTGCTGTCATAAAATAATCGACGCGCAGGATGTGAATTTGTCTCCTCGCTCCGCGTTCTCCGCTGCTGGGCAGGTAATGCGGCCATAAAAGCCCGCAAGGATAACAATTGCCGAGTAGCATCATGAGTGCTACATTTTGTGGCAAGCAGCATGAAATGCTGTTGCTGTTGCAATTGCAGTTGCAGTCATCAGGCAGCTGTGCCTGCTGCTGCTGCAGGAGAAAAATACCAGTTAAGGGACCAACTGCTCATCGCATTCCTGCATCCGTAATGCTGACAGCATCGATCCACAGATCTCTGCCTTCCGCTCTCCCAAGATTTGCCACAAAAGATGCCGCTGCCCCCAAATGACAGCTGCCGCAGACAAAAGAATTTATAAGCAGTTCCAGTTTATCGCCAGATTGAGACAATGTTTTAACCAGCTGCCGCCTGTGCCAACAGTTGACTTAATGGCAGCCTAAACTTTGACAATTTCTCGGTCTTAAATCAGGAACGGGCCCTTGATGTCAGCGGCCTTTGATGTGTCTTTAATGATGCTCCTTTCTCTCTTCTGGCAGTCAAAGGCCCTGTCACAGGGCCACCGAAAGGATGTGGGCTTTGTTAAAGCCTTGCACAGCAAACTGCTTTGATGATTCTTCTCGAGCATGCAAACATTTTTAAGCAAGTTAACGCGAAGTTTCTGCGGCTGTAAAGTATAAAAACATCTTGAATTCATTTTTTTTAATTTTTTGC